AATAGTGGAACTAGGTAGAAAGTAATTCCATGTTGCTTTTTGTTCACGATGTGATATTTGTGCTGGAGCATGAGAAATCTTGTCTCTAGGGAGATCCAAAAATCTTGATTTATTTCTATGAAAGTAAAGCACAAAAAGGGGGAAAAAAAATCATATGCAGTTCAAAGTTCATTTTTTGCCTTTGTATGAGGCAGTGACAAAGCTCTGTAAGGATATAGCAGTTGCCAAGGTACTTCCCATGCTCGAGGGCAAGCTGATGGGAAAAGTATGCCTTCCAGTCCTATCAACTGCAATAGATTCCTGTTCAGCCTGTGATTTTGCATAGAGCGGATCTAAGACAATCAGGAGAATTTAATTAAATTGTTACTGATGTGTATCAAAAGGAATCAACTAACTTGTTCTAACGTGTAAGGAAAAAGACTTTAGCTTGTCTAACATTCTTCTTTAAAGTTCAGTGTAGCTGCTTATGTCTCTGTGACAAAACATTCAAGGCAGCTTAAGTCTGTCTGTTTTGTCTAAGTAAACTTGAGTGAAGCTGTACATCCAGGCTGATTTTCCAGGTTTTCCTTTCCTAGAAAGAGTTTCATCATTGTTTGGGCTTCTGTTAAGGATACTTCTTTAATAGTCTGATGTGTCAGAGAAGTAGCCCTTAGCAGAGGCAGGATGGAGGAAAAGAATTGCAGCTGAGACAACAAATCTTGTCTGTGCAGCTTGGGAAATGAAGATTGACTCGAGAGCTGGATTAATAAACAAACTAACTGTACACAGTGTCTAAGTGCATGTGGTGAAATTCTCAGGTTTGTCTTGGCCCAGGTGTGTATGTGCTTTATTTTCCAGAGTAAGCAAGACAAGGGTAGTGGTCTCTGTGTCCTTGTGTATGGGTAGGTAGGGTAGATGTGGGTAATAACTCTCTGTTCATGATGCACGAGCAGTCTGATAGCCCTGCCAGTGTTTGATTTTGCAAGGATCTTTTGGCCAAAGAAAGAGTGGAGGCAAAAATGAAATTTCTTGGGAGCTTTTAGTTTCTTGTGTATTTAATATTCCCCTCTGTTGCCTTGATTCTTCCCTTTGTCTTTCTTTAAATGACACTGATGACAGTGGAAGTTGTAGAGTAGACTCTGAGCACCCAGTCACAAGATTGGTGAATGCTTGTGAAATCTTTTTCCTAGTCAGTGTTGCTGAATCCCAGATGGAATATTGTTAATGAAGAGTCTTGTTGCTTTGGGAGAGTAAAATGGGCAAAAAAGGCTAAAAAAATATTAAATATTGATAAATGCAAGGGTCTTTTGGTCATTCCTAGAAATGGGTTGAATAACAGCTAGGACACTCAATAGGTAGTTACCAGCCACTATCAACACCAGCTGGTGTGCTACCACATTTGTCTACAGCATATTCAGTGAGAGACGTGTGGGTTCTCTTGTAAGCTTCTCTGCATTTTGGGGGAATTCTGTAAAACTCTTGTCATGACTTGCATATGTTGCCTTCCTCTGCAAGTGTATGTGGCTTGTACATGTCACACTGGGTGACCCTGAGAGGGTTGATTCTATACTCTGGGAGAAGAGTGTCACATAGCTAGTCTCAGAGCTACTATAGGAAATAGCAGCATACCAATACCTTAGTTGTGATTTGATCTATTGGAAGATAAATTACTGATGAGGTCTGTTCTGGAGGACTAAATCTAGCTTTATTACTTTTGCCCTAGTCAATATATGTTGCATTTTGATCCCTGGCTATGCCTGCCCTTATTTCTGTGCCTGCTTTTAAGATGTGTGATTCATGAAATTCACACCTACAAACATGCCCAGCTCAGTGAGATGTGTCTGATGAGAGAAGATAAGTGAACTAGCCTTCAAAAGAGTGAAGCTTGCTATAAAACTAGCTGATAAGTTTGTGGATTTTGAGCTTTTTCCTTGGGGGTTGCAGTGAATCAGCTTGTTTTCAAGAGAAAAAGCTGTTTTCCTCAATGTGTTTGATCTGTTTGAAAGAGGGAAGAAGCAATAAAGAGGGAAAAGAACAGCTAATATGGAGAACTTCAAGTTCTCTTTCCAGTGGAGAGCATGGGTTTACAGGGAAGTAGGACCAACACTCTTTTCACGTACTATGAACTGAATTTCTACACTGCTATGGGGATAGGAAGTGTGAAATTATTAAATAGTCCTTGCAGCACATGCATAAGTTTTGGTAATTTGTTAACCATCACTTTCTGACCAAGTACTAAAAATGTTAGAGAAGTGACACAGATAGCAAAATATTTCATCTAAATGTAGACATAGGAGATTTCTGCTTGATCTGCAGTAGTGTAAAGCTGGTTTTAGGAAATACAGGACATTTAGCACATTCCAAGTGATTGCTCTCAGTGTACACAAACAGTGGGTCCCGATGAATTGTTTCTGTGCTCTATGGGTCAGCAGATCCCTGAAGTGCAAAGAATTCTGTACGTGCATGACCAGAGCATGCTACAGATTGGATCTGCAGGAAGGATTGTGCATCATGTGTTTTTGGGCTGCTGTAAATGAAACTGATGAAATATATTGAACACTGCTTTCTTTTCAATTGCTTGACAGAAGACAAACCTTTCCTTTTTTTTTTTTTTTTTTTTTTTTTCCCAATGTGGTTTTGAAATAAGATTGTAGGACAGCTTTTGAATTTTTGAACTTCTATAGCAAGGCTATTTATTAAAGCTTTGCTTTTTTTAAAAAAAAACATTTTGTCCCAGCAATTATCACATACATCAAGTGCACACTCAAACATGTAGAACTTAAATTTATCTTCAGACTGGACAGCCAAATTGTGCAGTTGTAGTTTGGAATCTGACTTCTGCACTTCAGTGGATTGCTTTAAGCAAGAATTCTGGAATCATAGCAACTCACTCTTTAAAGCTATTGCAAGCTGCTAAGTTTTAGCATGTATTTACTTTTTTTTTTTTGTTTTTTTTTTTTTTGTTTGTTTTTTGGTTTTTTTTGTCATCTATTCTTGAAATACATGAAAGGTATGTGATTAAAGGGAAAATAAAAGCATTTTATTGATTGTTCTGGTACCTTTTTACATTCTTTGTGAATTTCAGATTTTATTTTTAACATGCCAAATAGGTGGGAAAGAAGAAGCTTGATTTTTACTTGCTTGCTGAACTGGTCTAGTTAGAGAGTGCATTTTTTCTTAAATATGTGGATTTTTTTAATCATTGGATTTTTTTCTGGTAAGATACCCTTTGACAAAGATTGTGTCTGTGTGAGTACAGCCAGCTTCAAGAGATGAACCAAATGAATTGGTGTTGAGTCAGTAGAATTGATTCAGTACAGACATGTCACTCTCCTACTAAAATCTCAGTATTATTAATATTGAATATACAGACAAATTCAAGCAAATGTCTATGTAAAAATCTTCCTGATCCTCTTGGGTAATTTCTTTGCAACCTACTGAGCAACCTACATAATTTCTGTATCTATAATGACTGCTATGTGAGCATATATAGTCCTCAGAGAAGAGAGAGCTGTACTAGGGAGGTATTAATGATGTCCCCATCTGGGATTGTGGGATAACTGCACCCATCATTCTGTGTTAGCCACGATACGAGATCTGCCCCACAATACAGAAAAAGCTGTCTTCTGCAGATTTGTTTAATAAAAAGTTGTATTATCTATGTGGTCTGGAGAGCTGGATGAAGTTTTCTGATACCTCTGAGGGTGAATGATTATTCACTTTATCATGAAGTGTTCCTGGTAGACATGTTCTGTCCTTCAATTACTACTTCTAATTTAAAAACTCCCTACAACACGTATAAAGAAACTTACACTGTGGAATTGATATTACAGCTGTAATAACAAACCAGAGTTTCTACCTAGAAGCAAAAAGAATATTGGCATTTTGCCTTCTTTCACACTTGCATTCCTTTCAAGCCTGAAGCAAGTGTAATATGTGAATGAAATTGCTTGGGGTGATGTAGTCTGTCTGCCTTTTGCTAGATTGTCTTGAGACAGCTGCTGAGGTGGATTGCATGACCAACGTGAATAAGCCGTGCTGTCCTGCAACAATGGTTGCTGTGTTCTGGTCTGCTTAGAAAAAGTGCAGGAGAGAATTGCTATCTTGTAGCAAATATTTTGAGTTTGCACTGTTTTCTGCAGATGAATGTGTTGATTTTAAGTTTGAAGTACTTCCTGAAGCCGGAGCAAAAACTGGAAAGAAGTCCCAGGACAGAAAGATCAGAGCCTTGATTTTGTTTACAGTGTTTGGGCGAGCAAGGCAACAAATCAACTATATAATGGATATTTAACTTTGAAGCAAAATATTAGGTATACTGTTTGTTTTCAGTCTCTAACTGAGAGGTTATTAAGTGCAAATTACTATTTAACAGAAACAAAACTATAGTAGGGGTAGTCTAGATTAGTTCAGCTTTTTCACAAAAAGGGCTTTGTGCACACAACATGTCTAGTGCATTCCCTCATCTGTGTTTCCCCACAAGGCAAGAGCAAGACTGATGTAAATGACATTTGAAGCTGCTGTGAAGCAGGCAGGGAGGAGCATTTGCTCTTTGTCTGTGTCCCAAGTGAGATTTTAACAATGACTAAAAAGGTCAGGTAAAAGGCTTGCAGATGTAAAGGATTTGTTATACTGAGAAAGTAAATTCTGTTGGGCTGGATTTAATTAGCGAAGTTGAGTTAGAAAGTCTGCTCCAGCAGAGGTCACAGAGGAGCTTCAAGGCTCGTGTTACCATTGCCTGGAGACTCAGCCTCCAACCATGATGTAGGTCATTGTGTATAGTTTGAGTATGAATGCTTGGGCTTTCTTGTAGGCACTTTTTCATATAAAAAAGTGAGATTTAGGTTTTCTGTCTGTTTTTTTGTTGTTGTTCATTTGTTCATTTTGAGCAAAATGGTAAGTAAAAGGTGTCTAAGCAAAATTTGAAAGTCAACTTGCAGGATATGGACAGGATGAGAGAACCTAAGTCGACTAAATCATGGATTTGATACTCAATCTTTATTGTCTTTGTTTTCTCCCTGTAGATGAAGTTGTTCATGTTTCTGCTCCTGAGAAGCTCACCTTTGAGGAAGCAAAAGAGCTATGTCGGAAAAGAGATGGTGTTCTTGCTTCTGTTGGAAACATGTATGTTGCCTGGAGGAATGGCTTTGACCAATGTGACTACGGCTGGCTGGCGGATGGAAGTGTTCGCTACCCCGCCTCTGTGGCTAGGCCCCAGTGTGGTGGAGGTTTACTTGGGGTGAGAACCCTGTATCGCTATGAGAACCAAACAGGCTTTCCTTACCCAGATAGCAAGTTTGATGCCTACTGCTACGAACGTAAGCTTTTTTAGTTGTATTTTCAGTACACTCACTGTTCTAAGTCTGAAAATTGTTCACTATAATATGTTTTGTTTCAGTTCTTGAAGTGCACGAGTCCTTAAAAATGTTTTATTATTGTGGTTTTAAAAAAAGTAGTAAGAGAAAAGCCAAACTAAGACAAATGTCTTATAGTAACATCTTGGCACATTGATGCAAAATTTTAAGGTAAGATTTCAACCTGCTGAGTACTGTTGTGTTTATGCAGTGATACACAGTATCCACAATCACCCTGGGACCTGTGACTGTGGAATACTATGTAATTCAGTGCCTCATTGCACCCTGATATCTTGTATGTAATGTCAATGAACATGAGAACAGAAAAAAATGTTTTCCTTGACCAAGGGAATGACTATCATCTAACCTGATGCTCTATTCTGAATGATGGCAATGAGAGGCTGTTTACAGATTGCATACAGCCCTACCCATGGAAATGCCAGTAAGCTGGGGGCTGTCATTGGATTCTAGATATTTCCTCCCATCATATTTTTTATGCTTCTAAAGCAATTGTAAGTTCTGCTCTCACCCACCTAATGTTTCATGTACCTTTCAACTGGCACCGAGGATCGTCTAAATTGCCTTTCTTACTGCTGCTTTTATTTAATCTGAATTTTCTGAAGCACATCAAGTATTTGCCACATCCATCTTTAAACTGCATCAATCTAAATCAGATCTCCTCCATGCCTGTCAACTTTCCTTGGTTTTTGGGGTTAAATGTTCCTCTGTAACCAATTCCATCTTCTGGTCAAGCAGCCTGGCTCTGTTGTTATTATAGTGCAGTCTATCCCTGCACAGATTCCATTTGTCTCAAAGGTTCCCCAGCTTTTACTGTGAGCTTCTCTTCCCGTATCATCATCTCACCCGTGCACCCGTGCAGTTCTAGATCCCTACTTGTCTCTCTAGCCTTCCTGGAACTTACAGCGCTTCATATACCACTATGGAGAATCTGGCCTCATCTGCCCAGCCTTTTTCAGAACACCTCTCTGACATTTCTCTCCATCCTTACTGATGATTACTTACACCTCCACCTCTCCTCCACTTCCATATGATTTATCCACACATCCCATGATGTTAAACATTTGAGCTGAGGCTACGTAGACCTTTCAAATATTGCAGACCAGCTAACTGTGTCAATTAGCAGAGGATTCTATCACCTTGTTTTCTGTCCTTTATGATCCCTTCTATCACAGGACTGTTCCTGATGCAAGAGGACATTGATACTATTAGAAGGTCAGTCATGTATAAGAGGTTGGACTTTGTGTCTTCCCAGCTGAATGTCCTGGGTCTTACAGCCTCCTCACCAGCACAGGAAGGTCAGACTGCTCAATAATTTCCCTACAGGCCTCTCTGGTGAAGTTCCTGTGGTTGCAGACAGCGCTGTTGGCATTAAGGAGTAAAGACTGCTGGTGTTGTGTTGGTCTTTTTTAGTTAAAGTACAGTTTGGAGGGGCTCACTTCTATGACTGTAAGTCACCATTGCATGAAATCTGCAACCTGTGCTGTCCTCAGTTTTGTCAATGATGAGCTAGTTGAAGATGTGGATTTCTCCAGCTGAGTTACTGAAAGCTCCTTTATGAACAAACCTTACTGCCTGAGAAAAAATCCCAAGATCTAGTGTACTGTTACAGTCTGATTGTTCTCACACACTCAAACATGCATTCTTTAATTTTTATTAGTTAGATGCTGCAAAACTTTGCATATGAAGGTAGTCCTGGAGGACTTCAGAGGAACTGTATACCAGGAATAAGGACTAGTTAGGTTCAGTTATGTTTTAATCTGCAAGACATAATTTTGTCATATCACTCCTTCTGCCTCTTCATATTTATTGTTTGTAAGTTGCAGGTAAAATTAACTAGTAGACATGAAACTCATTAATCCCTCTAAAAGACCAAAGTAAGTACTGAGTGATTTGCCTATAGTCCATGATTACGGATCTTTTTATGAGAAAATAAAGACTATACCAGGCCACCATAGTTCATTAAATAGTGAACTTGCATTCTAGCAATTTTGATTGCAGTCAACATTACATCAGATGTAATTAAACAGTGCTAGTTAGATGACTCAGGTTTTGCCAAATATATCTTGTTTTGTGCAGGGAAAAAAAAGAAATATAATGCTGAATTGTATACCTCCACTTCATAGTTACTGAAAACCCTCTCTCCCTGTCATAAGGTGCTTAGAATTTCTCAGAAACCATCTGCAATTCTCCATTGCTTTTGATAAAAGATTTATGCTGTGTTAGTGAGACTGTCTAGTGTTATGGTCTTTCACATCCCAGGCAGCTGCCTGAAGTGGCAGCTGTAGTGAATCACTCTCTGCTGGTGGAACCCTCCTTTCAGGGACAGAGAAACAGGGAAAAAGTTAGAAATGGCTCTGCAGCATAGCAGGAGATGTGAATTTAAGTCTTTGTTTGAAATGATCCTTTATATGGAAGTTTAATTTAAAGCTTCCCAGTAGGCTCTATTTCAGAATGGTAACATACCACATTAAGTTCTCTATCCTGATGCTCTGAGTGCGTTGAGCTTGATATGAAGTCTAACACAGTGATTCCTGCAGTGCGAAGCAACTAACCATTCTTCCCTAAAACCTTGATGCTTTGCAGTTAAGTCTAATAGATTGCCCATTGCTTTTAATATGCTCATGAGGTGTTTGGTATTACAAGACATTTCTGTGGCTGAGAAAGAATAAAATGGGGAAGTGGCTATGCACATCTGCTACAAGAAAAAACACTGAGTGCCTCTGCAAACAAGGAAGGAACAAGTAGCCTGTCCAGGTAGCACCAGTGCCAAAGGTCTGCAGCACAGATGTTCATACAGTGACCTGGGGTTTTTAAAGCATCCCCGTACAGTTTCCTCTGCCAGCAATGTTCAGATTGATCAAGCCTTGAGTACTGTGCCCACTGTTGATATAGTTTGAAGTGCAGCAACAATGACTGAAGACCTTCATCTCACACTTCTACTCATACTGAGCAACACTTTCCTTCCTGAGTAAGGCCACCAAAGCAAATGCTGCCTAGCACCAGAAGAAATGAGTCTAGCTTTCAAATTTACATGTACTCTAAAGCAATAGGTCTGTGACAAAGCAGGCAGCTGTTTGAATCATCATGAAGACAAGTCTTGAGTTTAAGAAAAGGGATCCTTCTTTCTTCAGCCCTCCTTAAGATCTTTAGTCCTAACTTGTGATTGAGTGTATCTGAATGGAAAATCACAATGTATCAATTTTAAATTGAAGTAGAGTTAGAAGCCTCAACTGATGCGTTGAAAATCTAACTTTCAGACTCACAGTGATCAAAATATATATTAAAAAAAGAAACATAACTCAAATTGTAAATTAAAACCAGTAGGCACTAATTTCAATAAAACAGCTGACCTGGATGACATTTAAGAGTAAAGTTCAACTTTTTGACTTCAGCTCTTTTCTGGCTACATAATTACATTGTGCAAAGTGTCTTTACTTCTGGAAAACAGAAGTGGTGTTGACTAATAATATATGATTTAAAATCTAAAAATCTTGTTAAAATTAACAACCTCTTCACTTTGATCAGGGCTTTTCTTATTCTGCAGAAACCACATGGCTCTGAATTTCTGAAACACTATCTGTGTGTTTCATCTCATCCCTTGACTTTTGCCAGACATCTAAGTTTGTGTTTGGTTTTTTTTGTTGTTTGTTTTGTTTTGTTTTGTTTTGTTTTGTTTTTCTCTAAGAGGTGCCTAATCATGTGTCTGATGAAGCTTGAAAAAGTTTCAGGTTAGATTAAGTACTTGAAGCTCCTTGGAGGCCATCATCAAGGGAAGTTTTTCAGGTGTTAAACTATAGGACTTCTAGTCACAGTTCAAAACAAACAAACAAACAAAAAAACAACCCACTAAAAAAACTCCACACAAAAATTAATGGTAGAACAGTTGTAGAACAACTGATAACAGAATAAAAACATTGTTTCAGCAAAAAAAAAAATCCTTCATTTTTAATTAGATACCTGTTTAATATTTCATTGTTGCATGGAGCTATAGGTATTTATTTAACCCCATTCTCACCCCAGCCTCTGTCTCTTCACACTTAATTCAGTGAAGTATGTGGGAACCTTGCCACAGACTTTAATAGATTTTAGATTAGGCATTTTATACTGTATTATCTGTAGAATAAATTGTGCTCCAGAAATGCACTAAGTAGTATCTGTGCAGTTTTTGATGTGCATATCTGTAGCAAAACTGAAATAGATATACATAGAGGTCAGTGAAAAATAAATGCATGTTTTGCTGAGAAATGCTGGTTTATTAAAGCCGAATGGTTTTTGTGAACTTCTCAGTAAAGCAGTTTTTTTGCTTGACTCAGAACACCTGTTTGACATTTTGGAATAATTCTGTTCTGGATGAGAAAATTATTCCTAGCCTCAGGGGCAGCACGAAGGGAGATCTGTGGGTTTTTGGTCAGCTTGAGAATGGCTACAGCAGGTTGTAGACTCAGCGATAGCAGTACTCAGCACACAACAATGTAAACATGGATTAAATTTTTTAAAAACTGTTTATCTTTAGAGAAACACAGTAGAATGCAGATTTTGTCAAAGCCAGCATCCTCCACCTCTTCACAGCTCAGTTTAAGTGTCAGCATGGGCAAAATAACTTTGAGCAAGCAAATGTTTGTAGGTGATGGTGCTGGCCGGTATGTGCAACAACGTGGGCTCTGCTTATGCTCCCTTTCCCTTTGTGGAGTTGAGGTCTTACTGCAACAGAACTGTTCTCTGGCTTCATTATTTTGCTCAGATGGTGGATTTCTATGCCTTTCCCAAGTATGCTATTTAGCCAGGCCTACAAATCAGCAAAGATGTCCAGAAATGTCTAAATCCCCAGGCTCTCTGCAGGGTCTGTGGGTGAACGTCATGAAGGCTGTGCAGGAAGGCTGTGCACAAGGACAACTTCCAGTGGTTCTTATCTCAGCCTGCCACAGTTACAGAGTGAAGGGATT